CACTCAAATCTCACGTTGTGGCCAATGCCTGATACGAACTCGAATGCGCTTATAGACTGTTCGAGTACTTCATTATTGGGGTCTTTCTAGTAAACGGTTTCAGTAAATTTCAACTGCCTACCTGTTAGTGCCAAAAATTTCGAATCCATAAATATCAAGTACACCGATGACGGTGCCCTTATTGTAGCGTGATGTTTGCTCCACTGTAATCGACTCGTTGATCTTTTGCACAACCCAGGAGAAGAGGCGGTCATAGATAGCCTGAATGTTAGCTTAAAAATAATATAATTTGCTTCAACACAATATGCCAGACCCTTGCCCCAAGCAAGCATGGAGGCGAACTATGTAAGTAATGTGGGTCAAGACGTAAGAATTACGGCGAAGCGGCGCTGGTGGCACAGTAAATAACGTCTCGCGTCATATGCACTCCAGTCCACGACCAATAGGAGCAATCACATCGCTGCGCTCATAGAAGGGCAAGCTTTGGCGCTAGGATCCGATCCCCACATGCTAGCCCTCAATCTCACGACGCAAGCCTGCATCTAGAAGGAAGAGTGAAATGAGCGTTCGTCCTAGCATTTTCCCTAAGAATCAAGGTAGAGGTGGTCAGTAGTGGCGCAATGAAGAAAAAACCATGAGAAAAGCCCTAAGCCCTAAGAACCCGATAAAAAGGACCCCTTCCTTGCCCTTTGGTTCCCGACGTGATACAACTCTCATTGGTACTGCCCTCCTCTATAACGCTCTCTCCGCTAGACGGCTGTAGACCTGTGATGAGTGGTAGCCATCGTCCGGTGGGGTGTAGGTCCTACACCAGCGCGGGGTCACTCATCTGCATCGAGGCGGTGGTCAGGCGAGTCGCTGGGGCCCATTCTTCTGGAACATTGCGTAGCGGTCCCCCCACCCTCAGAGGTGACCTGTCCTCCCTTCCTCTGGCTATCAACGTTTATCATTGGAATCCTCCTCCAGACAAAAAAACTAAAAAAAACAGAAACTTCTGTTTCAGATTTTTATAAATGAAGCGAGGAGAATTCTTGTTAGTAGCATTTACGCAATATTCGTAGTCATCAGTACCATGAATCCTATGGCGAAGCGGACTCAATCCAGCGTGAGACCATCTACCTATTCGTCCGCAATCTAAGGCGTTTCCTTCTCATTCATTGAAACAAAACACTACAATTATATTCAGGATAAACGGTTTTTACGACAACTCTAAGGCAAAAGTCGGGCTCAATAAGGGGGTATTATGGCGATTGAAACTGAGTATAGAGATGCGAAGTGGAACGACAGTGGAGAAAAAACTGAGAAAAACCGTCGACAAGGCCGTTAACAAAACCCTCTTTCCCACTAGCAGTGAAGGAGGCTGGCTTGGGAAAGAGGCACGTACAAACAAGTTTTCTGGAGATGTCAGTCGTTCTATCGGTTGATACGGCAATCAACCTAGCTGTTTCACACGTTATGCCAGCCACGCACCACTTCCGGAGGTGGGCGGTCCCGGATTGACGAGGCGGTCCCGGATTGAAACCGACGGCCCCGGGGGCTTAACGACGTTTTTCAAGGTGGAAAGTTGCTGCAATGTGTATCAATTACAATCTCCGGGCATGGAAATTACTCCTCTAGCGCGACTGAGCCCGACCTTTGTCTTTAAGCTTTGACGAAACACTGATAGTGATAGCGCCCGCTTGGGTAAACAGCATAGTACCTCTAGTAAACTTACCCTCTTTGTCAGTCGGAAAATTTCAGTGTGTCACAGTACTGGCCTCGGCATGTTCATCAAGAGAGTAACGCGTCATCCCGCTCCCCTCCCCGTGCGAATTCCTTACCCGAATACGATGAAGGTCCCCTCACTTGCTCCCTACGTGTTCACACGTACAAACTAAGATACGCACGCTTAGCGTTTCAGATGTGTAGACGCAGGGCATGTCATTTATGGATATGCTGCATTTTAGAAACCAACTAACACTTTGGTTCTGCCCCCACTATAGACGCTCTCTCCGTCAGACGGCATGTAGACCCCTGTGATGAGTGGTAGCCATCGTCCGGTGGGGTGTAGGTCCTACACCAGCGCGGGGTCACTCATCTGCATCGAGGCGGTGGTCAGGCGAGTCGCTGGGGCCCATTCTTCTGGAACATTGCGTAGCGGTCCCCCCACCCTCAGAGGTGACCTGTCCTCCCTTCCTCTGGCTATCAACGTTTATCATTGGAATCCTCCTCCAGACAAAAAAACTAAAAAAAACAGAAACTTCTGTTTCAGATTTTTATAAATGAAGCGAGGAGAATTCTTGTTAGTAGCATTTACGCAATATTCGTAGTCATCAGTACCATGAATCCTATGGCGAAGCGGACTCAATCCAGCGTGAGACCATCTACCTATTCGTCCGCAATCTAAGGCGTTTCCTTCTCATTCATTGAAACAAAACACTACAATTATATTCAGGATAAACGGTTTTTACGACAACTCTAAGGCAAAAGTCGGGCTCAATAAGGGGGTATTATGGCGATTGAAACTGAGTATAGAGATGCGAAGTGGAACGACAGTGGAGAAAAAACTGAGAAAAACCGTCGACAAGGCCGTTAACAAAACCCTCTTTCCCACTAGCAGTGAAGGAGGCTGGCTTGGGAAAGAGGCACGTACAAACAAGTTTTCTGGAGATGTCAGTCGTTCTATCGGTTGATACGGCAATCAACCTAGCTGTTTCACACGTTATGCCAGCCACGCACCACTTCCGGAGGTGGGCGGTCCCGGATTGACGAGGCGGTCCCGGATTGAAACCGACGGCCCCGGGGGCTTAACGACGTTTTTCAAGGTGGAAAGTTGCTGCAATGTGTATCAATTACAATCTCCGGGCATGGAAATTACTCCTCTAGCGCGACTGAGCCCGACCTTTGTCTTTAAGCTTTGACGAAACACTGATAGTGATAGCGCCCGCTTGGGTAAACAGCATAGTACCTCTAGTAAACTTACCCTCTTTGTCAGTCGGAAAATTTCAGTGTGTCACAGTACTGGCCTCGGCATGTTCATCAAGAGAGTAACGCGTCATCCCGCTCCCCTCCCCGTGCGAATTCCTTACCCGAATACGATGAAGGTCCCCTCACTTGCTCCCTACGTGTTCACACGTACAAACTAAGATACGCACGCTTAGCGTTTCAGATGTGTAGACGCAGGGCATGTCATTTATGGTATATGGCCGCATTTCAGGAACCAACTGACACTATCGATGACCTATTGTCCCGCAAGCCTACGTAGATTGCAAGTAACCAGTTTCCTAGACTTGCCAGGAAATTCAACTCACCTTAGCCAATGCGTCTCTCGTGTACAACGCCGCGTTCACATCATGCGCTTTAGCGACGACATCCCCTCGTGCAGCTACAACCTGAAAATAACCAAACACCATTTATCCCTTTCAAATGGGCGCGGCCTCAACCTTCAAAACGATCGAATAATTCGAGCTACCTGAGATGTGAGCGCATTTTGGAGCTGATCTGTAGTGACTGAGAGACATTTAGCAGCACGCCGAAGTGTCTCTTTGTCGACGACATGGCAATGGCCAGTTGAGTTGTCCGAGTCGGCAAATGTGAGATTGCCAAGGTGCAGGATGCCGGCAATCACTGACCACAGCTAAAAAGTAAGCTATTATTCATTCAGGCATTATTCTTTTTTCATTTACCGTAGGATTAGCGACCTGTATTTCCAAGTTGTGATAGTAGGAAAGCAAAAAAAGGGAAAAGTCGATTGGGATTGGTGAAATTCCTCCTCTTATGGGTACATTAAACGACTACAAAATGTGGTTACTTCACTCGAAAATGATAAAGAGAAGAAAATTGGACCGCCAGCAAAGGAATATTCGAAATACACTGCCGAAACACCGAAATTGAAGCTCCCTAATTCGGACCTCATAAGTCTGCGACCAAAAGTTACTGGGCGTTGCAGCGAGAGGACAGACGAGAGAGCACAGGGATCTACGAGACGCAGACAGCCTGCCGCGACTCGCTGCCCAGACGCAGCGACCCATTTGCCTATAGAGCATGGGACTCTTTTCTGAAGTTTCTCACTCAAACGGAACAGTCGTCCAATGAACAATTCAAACGAGCAGCGGAGGGGACGGGCGTATTTGCAATTCATGGAAGGAGATAGCGCCCATTGCAGCGGGTATCGAGAATAATAAAAAAATAGATGGAACGTGCTTCTGCCTAGCACCTCCTCTACACCTACTTCCATTTGACAGGCTTTAGGGGGGAAGGTAAGTGAGGTAGGCTGAGAGTAGTTACAAAAGGACAGGCCGTAGGGGTGGAATGACGGTCTTCTACAGGAGAAGAGGGGTTTCTATCTCAAAATTTTGCGCAACACAACTGCACTCAAGGCTCCATCCGACCATGATGTATCTTATCTTGGCCAAAACGGCTAACCAGGAAAGACGGCAAGTTTCATGAGTTGGAAGAGAGACTATGTGAATGTAGATCAATAGGGTAGGTAACTATTTAGGCACAATCGTTGAGATCAAACTGCGTATGTGAACTTCCCGAAGCAGGTCCCAAGCTCAGTCAAACTCAGTAAAGAATCGAGGCAAAAAAACAGTGGTAACGCAAAATTGGCGCAGAGACCCTGTATCATAAATGAATATCATATGTGCCATCAGGATACCCATTTACCTCACATGAAAAGCTTCAAAAAATTGCAAACTAGCATTCTTATCTGTATTGATTTACCCAGGTCTCGTTCAAAGTCCCATAGGGATAACTGTCCTTTCCTTGTAAGAGGTGAACTGTGCTGAACTGTACGATCTCAAATATAGATATCAAATTTACCAAGTTTCCTACCTCATCAATTTCAGCATCTTGGAAACCACTGATTGCTTTGAAAGAACGCTGAACTTCCTTGAAATCCTGCGCATCGTTGATCGAGGACACCTAAAAATGAGCTCACTATCAAAACTTGCACTGACAAAGTCATTCCAATTTTTAAAATCTGACGATGAGAAGAATAAAAAAATCAGGAACTACCTATATTTGATCTGAAACATATTAGAATAGCAAACGAGAGTTCACCAAAATATTATCCAACTTTGTTCCAGTTCAATTTCTGGTTCATAAGAAATTTGCAGCGTTCAGTCAAAAGCAGCGTATAGATTCCTCTCAAACGAGTATCTGGAACTACAAGTGACTAGATTGAAAGAAAATGGATGAAGAATGATCGAAGGAAGAAAATCAATAATGATGGATCAAGAGGAACTTAGGAAATGAGCAAACGAATAGCAAAAACACAAAGCGGCAGGCAAGGCAAGATAGTTCTTATTCACGTACAGCAATTTGGGCTCTACGTCGCTGCACATTTGCGAGTGTTCCGCTGGGCACTGCCGCATTTTCTGGAAAAGGTAATTAAGGGCGCGAGCCCCTGAAGCCGATGTGATGCCACTCAAGAGGACTTCCTCTGTTTCCAAAACAACCCACGAATTTAGGATATTCTCATATTTACACCCAATCGTGGCTATATTCAGCATGTCCGCCTAGGTCACACACTCAACCAATGCTTACTTTCTGCACATGCACCATGCCTGCCCCTATGTAGCGATATGTTCACAGAAGAAGATCACCGCTTAAATTCTATTCTTAGAAGGTGATACTCTTACTTTTGAATTGCAAAGCGTATTTTACAGAGAACTGGATCGAAATCTGATGATCGAGCTGACCTTCGCAGCTCTTCGCAAATCGATTACTCGCGCGTAAACGCGTAAACTCGACTATAGCTGCAGCACACAGGAAGAATCTCACCTGTAGACAGTCTCCCTGATTCAGGTAGTAGTAGTTGTTCGGGTCCTTCGTGAGTCCAAGTTCCCTTAGGTGACCGTCATCGAATCCACGCAGAAGATTGTAGAACACATGAAAGTTCCGCTCACCGCGTTGTTGTCGAACAACACGGGACTAAAACTGCGCATTAATCAGGCTAAATATGCCATTTTCTTTTGAACACTTCACCTTTTCCAATAAATAGTTGGAGATATTTCCACCGACGGGATCTCCATTGAAATTGAAATTGATGTGCATGTATTTGCCGAATCGACTCGAGTTATCGTTGCGGTTCGTTTTGGCGCAGCCGAGTGATTCCAAAATGCAGTTCGATCGCAAAAGGATATTCTTCACCCTAAATACCAATACCTTGAGCTATCCATTGAGTAAGACCTGGGACAAGTTATAAATAAAAGGATAAAGCATTTGCCGTTGATCAATCCCTTTTTGGGATGCGGCACGCATTCTACTTCCATTTGTACATTCGTAGTGGCGTTTGAATGCGATGTGGCCTATACAATGACTTGCGGGGCCAGCCGATGTACAAGTCAGTGTTTTTTATCCTCCCAGACAAGTCTGGTACCAATTAACCGACCCCGGAGGGATGGAAGGCTTGGTTGGCCCGGGCGACTCACGACCCAGGATTTGATCCCCGGACCGCTCGCGTGGTAAGCGTGCCACTTGCCACTACACCACTTCCGCCCTCAGAAAATAGTTAAATGCAAAGGATAAAGAAAGCATCTGACGTCAAGTGGTCCATTTCTGGGATGAGCCACGGATTCTACTTCCCTTCAAAATGAGATTTTATGCGCATTTGACTTGAGCATGACTACAAGCCCCTCGGGGCACCATATCGTACCACCTCATTTTCGCCACAGGTAGCCAAAAACATGAGCGACGCTTGTCATTCCATTTTGGGATGAGGCACGCATTCTGATTCCATTCAAAGTTGTAGTGGCACTGTGGTATAGCCTATGCAATAAACTGCGTACGTCAGCCGATACACATTCCAGGGTTTTAAATGTTTCCAGACAGTCTTACCAGAAAGATGGAATCTTTCATTAGCCTGGGTGAGATTCGACCCGAGATTGACCCTGTATCGTGCGCGTGGGAATGGCACCACTCTCCCACATCCACCTCGTCGAAAAGATGACAAAAAAAGCAATCTTGCAAGCAGCAAAATAATCAGGGAAAGGGAACGAGTTCATCCGCCGGCGCTACATGGGTGAAGGTGGCCCTATTTCGGAATATTATATCTTTGAATATTCACCGTTTTCCAATCGCTGGCTAGTAATCATAATCCACACGAGGGAGGGGGGGCAAAGCCCATATCCCACACCACGCTGGCCCACAACGCTTTTCAACATGACTAAAATGTCGAACGGCGTAAGCGGTGGTTGCGGTGGAGGAAGGGCAACCTGACACTAACACAAGAACTTAAAACGCGTACGTCCGGACCCAAACACTGACTCGCACACCCCGCCGTCCAGGAAATCCAAGCTTTTATCCAGCTGGGGCGGTTGGTTTATTCAATCTTGTTAAGGAGAACAGAAACACTGACGTGTACATCGGCTGGCCACCGCAATCCACTGTAAGGATTAGATCCACTTGATTCCGAATGGAATTAGAATGCGTGGCACATTCCACCAAGGACCTTATTCCTCATACATATAATGACAGAACCTTTTCGATCCCTTCTCTTTCTCCGACGAACAAATCGCTTGCAACGTTTTCTGGCCCATTACACTTCCACAAGTAGAAATTTCACAATGTTTTCAGCATTGACCCCGGCCATATGGCGCCAGACGAACGTCCCTAGACATTTCCGGGCTGGCTGCCGCCTAATGGTGGTCATTCGCGCGAGCCTTCACCATTATGGACTCATTACGAAACACAATATCGCCTTGCGGGTTCAGTGATTGACGCATTTGGGTGGATCAGATTACTGCGAATAATTATTGGAGCCCGATCCACTTACTAACACATCTAACAGCCACAATTCTACAAATCATAAAAATAAAACTAAGCCCCCAGACAGCATTCAGCATTGTCGGGCGATTCTACCGGTGCCGAAAAACCCGCAAAAAGCGAATTCTCTCCATATTCAATCAAGTGGATGAGAGTGAGGAGATCAAGAGTGAGGCTGGTGAGGTGTAGCGTATAGAGGCGCCACTCCCCAGATCCCTTCTTTAGATCAGATTCCGCTCATGCAATTTGGACAATCTCGAGCTCGCTAGTCAGTGTCATGAATTCTGGGAGAAATAAGACACTGACCTGAACCTCGGACACCCTTCCAAAAGAATGTCTGGACAAAATACGCTTCCAAAATATACAGCGATTTTTATAAAAGCCCAATACATGGCTCAACGCAAAGGAATTGACCTAACGACCAGGTTTAACTTTAGCCTCGATTAAGCCAACATTTGCTCCCCTCCTCTCTTGGAAACGGAGGGTCTCCCGAATCTCTGCACCATTTGAACCCTTCAATCATTCGCTTAAAAGCAGTCGTCGTTTCCCGAATCGCTTAAATGAGCGGTCGGTCATTTGCCATCGCATTTCCGTCATGCAAGCCCCGCGTTCGCTTTGTTCATTAACTGAACGTCACGACCAGATGGCCGCGTCGGCAGTGATTTCAAGGGCAGCACGACTCGATTAGTGTGGAGAAACATCTTTAAAGTGGCTTTTTCGAGCCCTCCAAACGACAAAGAGATCAACTCTGGGCTCGTAAGTGCCGAAAACCGTACAAGAAACCAGGCGACTTCGGATAGGAACCATAAATGTCTTGATAACACATACCTAGAGTGGATGGGAAATGTTTTCAATGGCCATCCTACCTCTCCCAAAATGGTTCCCCAGAATGGGCAGTGAGACGGTGCTCACAATGCTCCTTGGATTTCCTTCTCCCTAGACCAATCTTATTAGTGAAAGCCCAGCAGTGAGGCTGCGCGAATGCAGCGACAGATGGACAATGCAAAGCGATGATGGGTTTAAATGGATGGTCAAAGCAGATAGTGTGCCCAGTAGGAAACTGCTCGATTGCACGTAGCGGTTACATTCTTTATCGCTCGAAGGCCGACTTTACATTGGAAGGCAGCCCATCAGAAATCACCGTAAAGGTGGTCAAACGCAGGAATTTGGAAAAAAAACGGAAAATTGTCTAGCGCCGAGAAATGGGACCCCTTCTGACCAGTTGGATTCCCACGTGGAGAGTCAATATAGCGGGCGCTCTACTCTGCGTCCCGCTGAAGCTGTAGGGTCCGCGGCTAGAGTTCGACACGAGGGGTTAGCCAACCAGTGGGTGGGCACCGGCGCGAGCGGAGCGGTACTGATACGGCCCTGCTTGGTCGTTGGGCATAGACTCACCTCGGAACCATCACACCATACCCTTAAAGGCCTTGTCTGCCTTTCGACTGAGGATATTTCTCATTCTTCAACTTCTGTTCATACCGTAGAATTTTTTTCGGAGAAAGTGTGGTTATGGAGTTAATTCAACTAAATTTCGAAGAAGTTAGAGCAGTTTCCAGGGTAGGGCTCAAGAAACTAGAAGCTCGAAGTTCTTGGTTTTGCCGATCACTGACTGGTTTGACCTCCTGCCAAAGTCCATTTCCGTTCCCAACCCCAATGAGAACTTCACCAGCCATTAGGTAACGTCGATTTTCATTGGAGCAAAACGAAAGGGGATAAAAGAAGAAGTTGAAGAGAAAAATCCGAAAAAATTAAAATTCGAAATGGAAAGATATATTGTACAAACTTTATGAAAAATTGAATTTAAATCCCTCATAAAATTACACCGCTGTAAAGTACTGCATGTATTTCGGCAAGTATAAACGAGATTCAAGCGCTAACCTCTCAATTTCCTTCTGTTGTTGCTGATTTGTGATCGCGGCCAGATATCGCATGATAATCTTACTAGTCTCTGTTTTTCCAGCTCCGGATTCTCCTGAAAAAAATCTCAACCCTAAGCAACTTTGCCTGATTCCTGCCCTATATTACTTGACATTGCTAGAAAGAATGAAGTTGGACCCTTCCCCGCTTGACGGCCATTTTGAAGGGGGAATGGGAACACAGCGGAGTGTGTCGACTGGTCTCAGGATCAAATACCACGGCAAAAACCATGGCGACGAGTTGTAGCGGGGAGGAAGAGGTTGCCAAACTTGTAGATGAGCCCTTTCACGTGTGGTGGTGCGCGGCCGTATCAGGGGCCCCAAGGGGAGAGGTAGTGGAATTAGGTAAAGGTAAGAATGCGATGGTTGATCCTGATTGCAACCCCGGCTCTGCTACATCCCCTACTGCTGCTAGTATGGATGATAAGGCCTGATAGGGCCGAAAATTCCTCCGGTTCAAAGCCATTCGCTCTTTTCCTTAACCATATCCCCTCTGAGGCTCTACAGCGTCGCAGTTTGTCAGATGTTTATCGATTTTTCGTCAAATTATTCGGTAATAACGACAACGAAAGAGGACCGAGATCAGTGCTCAGCATCTAAAACAAAACGACGAAAAGTTCTTCTACAAACTCATTACCCGATATGACAATACAGGAATCGCGTCCATAGCGTTTCATTGAGCGATACGCGGCGTCGGCGATCGCAAAGACATGTGAGGACGCTTCGAGATTTCCACTCCACACTGAATGAATACTCTTGAAAAACGTCTGTAGAGTAAAAATCGCCCTGATCTAATTCTCTTTTAGAAAGCGTTCAGAAGTGATGCAGGCTCAAAGTAGGCCGGGCTACAATTACAAGGTATTGACTGTCCTCACCTCTAAATCAGCTACGGCCATAAATCTTGAATCTAACACACCCGAAAATTCATCTGACTTGGCCGACCCTTACTTTCTTGACTTTTATCCAAAGCCCATCAGTTTAATTTAGATGCACTGAATAGGATAAGTGTATTTAAATGAATAATATATCAAACGTGAAAATTAATACATAAAAATAATAATATATCGAATCAGTAATACAAAAAGGGTTAGGAAAGAAGGGTCCTTTTCCGAAGCTTTCGCTTCAATAGATCTCACTCCTCATCTGCCAGACATCGTAGCAAACACGAGCTATAAAAAACTAACTGTACTGGAAAACGCAAAGTAGTCTATTAATAAGTAAACATCGAGCCTGGTGGAAAGCAAGAATCAAAAATCTCTAAACAAAATGCAGATCGAATTGCAATCGGTAAGAACATCACTAGCAAAGGAAGACATATTCGTGTAATATTCTAGATGCGTCTCTATGCCACTTGTTATCTGAATTGCAATATTCTCTCTATTTTACTCAATGCTATGCATCGCATGAGTTAGTTTTTGAAATCGGGCTATAATAAATAATCTCTATCAAAACACAGATGCAATAGCAGTAAAAATTATAGCAACAGAAATTACTTACGAGGGGACAACTCTTTCACACACACCCAGTACAGAAGAAGCTCAGCGAACTAGATCTAACACCTTGACTCATTGTTTCACATCTCTCGATGTTCAACCCAATCAGTGCTTCCCTGCAGGGTTAACCCGGTCACTTGACCGAATCTTGAACAATCCTTCCGTGTATCCTCGACTTTCTCTTACCTCAAACTACTTGCCTGGAAGTTTTTTAGCCTTCGATACGCAACTCTTCGAGACCCCCCCTCCTCAGCGTTCTCAATTCTGTCTTTCCTCACAAAACCGTACCCCTACGTCACCTGTGTCTCGCTCATCATTAGAGTCCATCTCTCCATTATTGTCCGATTTCTAGAAAGCCTAACGTGTCCACACAAGAGTGAGGCATTGAAGAATCTATAACATTGCAGACTCCAGCCCAACTGTTCGTACCTACACCAGAAAAACTACGCTATTCTAGTCGAGAGGAAGGGACGCGTACACTCACATCATTATATCTCAAAAATTTCTGGCATCCCTTCTATACTGTACTATGAAACTGCGCTCGCTTTTCCTTGAGAGATACATCTAATGACTATCCTCACGCGTATAATTATACAATCCCCTCTCTCCCTTTTCACCGCACCCCAAAAATTACGACGCCCCACACGACTAGGGACTTAACGTTTGAATCTTACCATCCCTTCTCTCATCTTTATACACTAATACACACCTTGCCAACATAATTAAACACTAGAAATTTCAAGAAAACATCGATGAAATTCGGCACAGCGTACCTATGACAATGCGTAAACCTATCAAATCTTACTGTAATTATTTAGCCACTGTATCGTGCGTATACATTGAATATGTGTAGATGAGACGAGATACATCGGAATGTTCACAGCGTAGCAACTGCCTCCAAGCTCATAGACCTAATTGTCACGTGTATAATGCTGCGTGTTTTGTGAGTAAAGCTGAAGAAAATATACAACGCTTATTACTGACGCGTTAGTTTCGCTAAGGGTTAGAGCATTAGCTGTTGGGACGAACTTGCGATTCACTAACGTTATGAAAATGCAAAAAATAAAAATAAAAAAGAAATATTTTCACAAAATGAAGCTCAACTTTGCAAAACTCAACTGAGAATTCATAATAGTCAACGGTTTTAACCCAAATTCTTTTATCACTTCAGCTATCCGCTTTTGGACATTACCTCTCTAGTTCTCACATATTGATTTGATAAAAATAAATTGATTTTAAATAACAATTTCAAATGTAAAACTTTTGTAATCATTTGGAACTCTTTGTGTAATCTTTGTTTATTAAATGATTTACTCCTGAAATCCGACAGCATAAGTACATCCGAAAAAAAAATCAGGTTCGGTTCCACCCCTCTGAATGCCTCTTCTATGCTCAAATGTAACTCGGAGAAAGGATTTCTTTAACTCTTAGTTCGTTCTTTTTCCTTTTCCTTTTTTTTCTCAGAATTTAAATGACTCCTAACCCTTCCTTCACCCATAGCGCCAGTAACTTTCTCCTCGTCGAGATCAGGTGAAAACCTACTCAAAGAAGTTAACACCTTTCCGACTGGGCTCACTTTTTGGGCGGGGGGGCGCTCACGGCCGGCCGCATGCTGCGCGGCAAGCATAAATATCATATATTTAATCTGTATTCCCACTAAAGCCATTATTTTGTCTCGTTTATGTCTTTGTCATGTCTCGAAGAATATATAAGATTAATTTGACAGAAAACTGTTTTGCAAAAAAAGGGAAAGGGCCATAAAAAGGGAGGAAGGGACGAAAATTGTTCAAAATAAGTTGGTATGGAGAAAAAGGGAGTAGAACGTGCCCAAAACGATTGGATCCATAAGAATCAGATACGACGAGCAGGATATTTCACAAATTCTTCGTTTTTAAGTGTTTTCAAGCGAACTACAACTGTTTTCTTTGAGCCCAAAGTGGAAGTCCATTTACTCTTTGGTTATTTTAGAACCTAGATTAAACCTAAAGTCTAGGTTTTTTCATACATATGGCATGAGTCTGTTACATAGGTATGTAACAACATAAAATATTTTATCGAAAAACCAAACTCTTGGAAAAATCAGCTCTTGAAGTTCCTGACACACCATGTGTGTCAGGCGGTCCGGAAAGGGTTAAAGAAACGTATTCTGATACCTCAGTTTCCGCATAAGTCAGCAAACTGAGGGAAGGTACAGTGTCATCAGCGAATTCCAATCCTTCTGCTCCGAAAGAACTAAGCATACAACCCCTGAACACCGAAAACATAAGCGCAACATTTATTGGGTCATTGCTCTTGTCTTATTGCCATGAACGACATCACTTTATAGCCATACGAGCGATTCTCGGCGATATGTTTTTGATCTTATGAACGATTTTCCTATCATGCTGTAAAAACAGGCCCGCGTCACAGCTATCTGACCACGATACGGAACTTATATTGACCCAAATAAACTACGGTAGAATCTTCAGCTCGTCTCGAAAAATATTTGAGGATCTTCGACGTTGAGAGCAGGGTGAATATCGCTTGAGGATTCCTCAACGGCACGTCGAGGATTCTCTGCCCGATCAGAGACGATCTCTCGCGCGGACATTCACACTCGCCATGCCGTGCCGTCTGTGCTCTCCGCGCGGATGTTCACTCTCGGCACTACTCTCGCATGGTAGAGAGCTATGGTCGAGGATTTCCTCGACCGTTATTCACCCTGCTCGAAGGGTAATCTTTCAGGTTTTGACAACTCATCTCGAAAGTAATAAACCCAGAGATTCGGTTCTGAAAGTAGTTAACTGCGTGAGCCTGTGATTCAATGGAGCTCTCAGACTTTAACACAATCTAACAAATTGAAAGTGGTATGCGTTATTATTGACATAGGCCTCATTGGACTGAAATGCATAGAAAACAAGACGCGCCACGTCACTCAAACTGCAATAAAAATTGGGCAGAGACCCTTTGAGTGTTAACATTCAATCACTTTTTGATAATCGAAGTTCAAGTTACGATTTTAATTCTGTAGATAACTCTCGCCTTTATTCGAAATTTCTCTCCGCATGACAAACATTAAAAAAATAAAGCATATACCTTCCTAAATACGCCCATGTATTCGACCTATTATTTATTCGAATGGCAAACATTATTAAGAAAAAATCAGTATCACTACAAATCAGCGACAAAGTGATCTCATGCAATGGCCCCACTTCCACGAGCATAGTTGGTGAAATTAGGAATCGCGGTCGCCTAGGCCAATTAACTTATCACCCCTACCACTTGTCAATAAAAACCTAAAGTGCAAGAAGATAAAAACAGTGACTTATCGCTGACCACCCAGCAATATCATGTTATTGCGCATGCCGCACTCAAATCCAACTAACCATTTGGTGGAAGTGGAATGCGTGGCGCATCCCAAAAGAGGTTAACCGAACTCTAAAGCTTCACCCTGTCTCGCTGATAAATAATATTTAGCTCCATAGGACCTGTGAAGCCAGCCGAGGCTGTCAATGGGTTGACCTTATGGTAATACTTAACTGAAGCACCCAAAATTGTAGGTAGAGAATCAGCAATAGGGTTTTGATGGCTGCAGCCCATTTGGAACTTTCTTAGCAGCTTTGTTTGCAGAAAAAAGAAGTGGTAGATAGATCAGTCTTCACGAGACCTTCCCCTCTCCCTCGATTGCCGTCAATTTGAACCACTCCACTGAAAGCATCTCTTTATCTGACCCCCTGGTGTGATTTTCCTAATGGACGCATGACCGTGGACGACCTTGTACATGAAAAGAACCAATCACAGATGCCAAAAAAATTAATGAAGGTCGAATCGGACAGACTGACAGATGTGAAGATCTTTATAGATTTCAGTTTTTCCCAGTTCTTCCTTCAGACAGTCCGTATGCACCCTTTGGACAGGCCACGCTTCCCAGTACTCCGCTTATGCGCAAAATGACGCTGGTGGGACCAATAATTCCCCACTGATTTATGAGGTCCATTACCTGGATAGTTTGACAATTATTAAAAGCAGTAAAGCCAGAAATACAGAGTGGCCAGCTGTCATAACCGCCTTCTTTCCTTCCAAAAAACCTTGCCTAACAGGTCTTCTTCCCCGCCCCTCACCGAGGTAGTGGGGTTGGGAAGGAGAGGGAGCTGCGCTTTGGCAAGCTTTCGGGGTTGAGATTTACCGTTCGCGCACCCCATTAA